CAAAATATGTGTGATGTTACACTCAACCTTGTAACTAAAAGTGTACATATGTGCTATATATATATGTATATACTTGTGCTTGTTTAGCTCATACATTTTATAATATTGTCGTTTTAAGCAACCGTCTGACAAAGTTTCAAAGCGCAGATAATGACCATTTTTTTACCTAACTAGAGGGCGACATTTTAAGAAACGAAAAAAAAATTTATTTTAGAATCGAACACGAAAAGTAAAAGGGAAACCAAAGGCGAAATTCTTTGCTATTAGCATGAGAGGACAAAACTCGCCGAAGTTGCTCTTGTCATAAATTGTTTGCCTAAAAATACGCCGCATAGGAATTCGGCCATCTCTCTGTTATTGTTGTAACCGCACGGAAAGTCCTCAAAAAGTTGTGTGAGATGCAGCTTAGCCGTTGTGGTAACGCAAACCCGACTGTAGCGGGAGTGTTGCTATTTTCCGCTGCTGCCTTTCAAAAAATTTTGCTATTTCTATTCAAACGGTTGCTTGGAAAATGAAATTTGCAAGAAAAATGCTTTTTGTGATTAATAAATTTAAAAAAGTTGTTTACATTGGTGCCTGATTGGCAAGAGTTGCGTTAAAAAAGAAAAAATAAAATATGTACATACATACATGCACACTACATCCAAACACGCCTGAGTCTGAGTGTACTTGAGAGTTATATAAAGACGATTTTGCTAGAATATCAATTAGTATTAGTTTTAATTGAAAAAAATAATAACTAATTAAAACATAGTCTATGTAATGCGTGTTTATTTTCTTTTAATCAACATGTACTTATATGCTATATACAATATTATTGAAGATGATTACTTGACAATGTGAGTTTTAAGATTTTGTTCTTAATTTTGAATTAAGCTTTGAAAGCTGCTTACTTTGCTTTAACTTAGTTTATTTTTTCTACTTTAAGTTAATTTTCGCGAATTTTTTATTTGTTTTATTTATATAGTTTTTATTTTGTTGTATTCTAATTTATTTTATTTGTCTGGCTCTTATTTGTATTGTTTTTTTTTTTTGATTTATGTTTATTTTACTTACTTTCTAATATTTTGCCATCGCTTTCTTAATATTCAACATTTGGCTAAAAATTTTGTATTACCTCTTTTCACTATATACATATTAATAATTTATTTTGCCTATTTTTGAAATTTTGCAATTTTGTTTTTAATTTTGATATATTATATTTTTTTTTTAATTTTCATTTTCTATTTAATTAATCGTATTTATATCTTGATTTTTTATTAGTTGCTCAGTTCCCTAATTATCGTTTTGTTTAACAATTTTTATTAGCTTGAGGCCGTTTTATATGAAAAATTATTGTGGTATGGTACTATTTATAAACTATTGTTGTTTTTTCCACAATAATTTTTCATATAAAAAGGTCTTAAGCTCAATAACAATTGTTTAATATTAGGCGAAAAAACATTAAAGTGTTTTATTTATTTTTGCACTTGTTTTAATTTTGTGTTTGGTTTATTAAATTTTTCTGGTTGTTATGGCGGAGAAGATGCATATATATGTATGTACATACATATTCCTCACATTTATCAAAATTTTCTTGTTCTTGTATTTTATTTTTGTGATAGAAATTTTTTAATTGAACGAAAAATAAACATCCAAAATAATGTTTATTTTTTGTAGAAAAAAAATCACAAAATAATGATCAAAGTAAACAAAAAAATTTTAAGTTAACGATTGTACTTGAGCGAAGAAATCAAAAGATAAGGATTTTGTAATGATCTAAAAATAAAAACCTTGATATTTGAATACCATTCACGGCACCTGCTAATTTGTTTTTCTAATCCCCAGTTTCACCAATCAATTTTATATTATATTTATCAGCTTGTTAAAATTTAAAATGACAGAATTTTGTTCGGAAAATTTGTCATTTTAAAGTGTAACAATGCGACAAATTTTTAAATTGATTGGTGAAACTGATTTTGCTCTGAAAAAAAAAACACTGAAATAAATAAAGAATTACTTTTATTTTTTCAATTTATTAATTTTTTATCTTTTTAATTCGCTATAAATTTCCCGAATTTACAAAATTTTAGTTTAGTATTTTTTTTTTTTATGACAGTTAAATTAATTTTATTTTATAATTTCTGTATATATTATATTTTATATTGTTTTGACTTGTTTATAAACATTTATTTT